CTTGAAGATTTTCTTACTATGTCCCCGCCGGGTGTTTGCTGGGTCAACGGTAAAAAACCTGTTTGCCAAGCTTTGTTCAAACAGGGCGTAAGTAAGAATTAGGTTCCCTCGGAGGCGACGGTCCTCCAGGGCACAATACAAGACGGAAGTTTTCGGGCACACAGCTCACTCACCACAGTGCCTGGATAACCTGTAAGCTTGATTGTGCCGTACTTTGTCACCAGCCTTCCTTGCTTTAGGTCAATCACGGAATCTGCGCTATCGAGAAAAGCAGCCGGCAACATTGTCTGTTCTGCGTCTGGGCTGACCAGGAACGCGTGCTGCACAGACTTGTCGCCTAGGCGCGTACGTATCGTTGACAATCCGGCAATCTTCAGTCGATATCCACCAAAAGCTCTCACGGCTAACGCGCATGGTCTGCGTTCAGCTTCCCTCTTTGCACGCGTGCTGCACGGACCTGTCGCCTATGCGTATCGTTGACAATCCGGCAATCTTCAGTCGATATCCACCAAAAGCTCTCACGGCTAACGCGCATGGTCTGCGTTCAGCTTGGTTCCCTCTTTGCCTCAGCGATACACCTGCTCCTATATCAATCAAACATAACTCTTTTTTCCCGTCTACTTCGACAATGGCTTTTACGGTAGCTTGTGTCAGTGCGCCAATCGCGACCCACCCAGGAAAGGAGGGAAACTCTAAAGTTTTATTGTGCACAAGTGATCGGTTACGGGGACACTGATTCATCCCGTGGTCAGGCTTACCACACATATAGCGCCGGCTGGTTCGAGCGTGCCTCCACGACTCCGTCTTCACGACTGCCAGCTGTTCGGTGAGTTGGTCCACCCTGGTCTGCAGTTCCTCCACTGACGAACCATCCCTGTTCTCCGGCGACTGCATCGTGGCCAGTGGTGCCTCGGGCAGCTCCCGGGCCAGACGCACCAGCTCCTCCACACTCAACTGGCCAGTTGCTCGTGCCAACCGCAACTGGACACCAATCGCCGGCTGCACACCTTCGACGGACTGATCCGACAACAACTGGTGTCGCGACACTCCGTCCAGCGTCGTCAAAGCGCGATCCAACAACTGCTGCAGGCCGGCGAAGAACACGGTTGGGTCAGATCCGGGTGCCATCCTGGCCGTCTTGAACCGCCTCATAGCCTCCTGGCGGTCGGCCGGTGTGTCGAACTCCGCTGCAAGGACCTCCTTCGCGGCGGCCCAGTCCATCTTCCGGGGGGCCACTTCTGGCCGCATCCAGGGCCGCCTTAGCCCGGCCCCTGAGGATGGTCTTCAGCGCTGCCAACTTACCCTGGTCGGTCTCCAGCCCGGCAGCCTCCGCGACCTCCTAAAAGTCCTCCAGGAAGGTCCGAACATCCCCATCCTCAAAGGGGTGCCGCCACGGGATCTTCAACCTTATCCTGGCGACGGCACCAAATGAAAGGAAGAAGGCCTTCGCTGCGGAGTTATTTATTCGGAAATGCCAACTGACCGGTTACAGACCATTGAACAGGGAAGCAAAACTCTAATGTGCATCTTAGTTACAAAAACTGGACACCGAACTTCTCCCGAAATTTCCTGGAGATTCAGTGACTCCACTCATTCGTCGGTCATATCCAAGCAAATGTTACAAAGTGGCTCCACGAATTCCGCAACAGATCTCCTTTTTTCAATAGACGCAAAGCAAAATTCTACGAACAGCACATACAACTCGCGTGCCTCCCGATCAGTAGTATCACCAATACACCAATAGCCCAACACAGCACAGAGCTCTAGCAGTCAATTTGACAAGGAAATTGTGATCTTCCGGCTTTGCTTTATTTGAAAGCCGCTGCATATTGCACGGTATCTCCCACGACTATTGCAACACAGCTTATTATTCTGAACAGCCAACTTTAGGTATTCGGACTGTCCGAATCCGCAGCCGAATGAAATGGAGGAACCTGCCTGTTCTATTCATGCATGCCTCAACAAACTGAATCATTCATTTGTGGATAAGTCTCCAGGATTTTCAGGAATGTCACTGCACGCTTTGAGTCTGAAACGCTCAAGTCTGTTAGGTCGAGGATTTGATTCCAAGGATGATCCTAAGAATGAAAAGGGTGAAAGTTAATGCGACTTTTCACTGTTGAGCACTAGCACACATTTTCCACAGACGGTTATATTTGGTGCTTGTCAAACGTAAAAACTACATAGCACTTATATGTCAGTGACAATACCGCACCAAAAATCGTCCTTTTATGAATACGTTTACAGACTTGTTTCACAACCTGGTTCTTACCCTAGTTGCAAATCATTTCCTCGCTACCATACACGCAACACTCGTCAGCCTACAATTTGCGACTGCCGAGTAGAGGAAATAGTGCACCATTGATGGAAAAGGATAACGGATTCTCACGCTAAATACTTGCTAGGTGATACATGGAGGAAGGCAAATTTCAAGTCAGCGAGCCGTGAAAAGCAGGTGCACCGGCCTACCACATGTGAAACATGTGCCCAAGCCATGCAGGAAACCTAACTTCCTTCTTGTGGATCCGAAAGCATATAGTAAGCCTGGACAGTATTTTTGGAACAAAACAGCTACTGAGCTGATGGATGGGCTAATTCGGGGTCCGTTTGGAGGGTAACTTTCGTGCCAACAACGTTATACTGACCATTATACAGTCTGCTCTGCAAATTACAGGGCGGAAGTCGTTGGAGCTAGAAAATAAGCGCCACTGAGGAAACTTTTTTGTGATCATCATGATCATTCTCAACAGCAAAACATCATGGATCAACACTGATGCTTTTGTGCCCATAGTTTATTTGAAAGCCCTATTATGGAGAAAAGAATGAAAGTGGATGGAGAAGGGATTTAGTGCTAGCCCACCACAGTCAACCTGAGACGCCTCCACACACTTATTCAGACGGACACTCATTCAACTAGAAACTGACAACAAAAACACCACTGATACCGATCAAGGGCCATATACTGCAGGGGCCCAAACAATGCACATCACGCGGACCGCATCCTGGAAGAAGATTCGCATCGACAGTACCAAGATATTTTGTAATTGCTTTCATACCCATATGTCGAGTGAAACGGTGGCCAACTCTCAGCTCGTACCACCCTGAAGTATACACAGAAAACAGTAGCCTTTCCGGCAAACGATGATTCGGCATTCTATATGCATGACCTAAACTTTGTAGCTTTTGGTGCTTGAAGCACCCTTCAAATGAGGTTCCTGTTGCATAACCTGACTCTCGTTTTCCAACTGTCTCTCACTGGCACCAGCGTATACGAGTAATGGTCCTGAGACAACGGTTGTCGAACATGGCTGATGGAAAGCAAAGGCACCTTATATGGTTTCTTAAAAACAATCCACCTACTACGGCTGAAGCAGTCACATCCTACGGCTTAGTGAGACCATGTGTTTCTTGCACAGGAGTGCCATCCATCCCACGGAACCCCTTCTGCCCAGCCATGTACAAACCTCGGCGCAGTTGTGGTTAACGCGCTCACTATAGTCCGGAAGATCCGGGGTTCGAATCGACCCCGGACATCTCGATTTCTCTTATCTTAGCTTTAGCAAAAAAATGTCACCTCAGTCCTCCTGCTTTTTTCCTATGGTATGGAAACTAGGGCATTACAGATGAGCCATTTTCACGTGTAAATGCAGACGAACGAAAGGTCCTTAGTTTGGGACTTGGAAAAAAGTTTGAAAGCCTTAGTCAATAAACTCAGCCAACTTAGAAGGCGCACCAGCACGAATCACAGCAACGGATGATGACACTGACAAACAAGGCATGAACACGCACTTAATGGTATAGCTACATTCAACTATCACCCACAATTCTCCGATTTCTTCTCTACCGGGAAGAAGGGTGTTCGATATATTTGCAGTAGCTAGACCATTACCTCCATTTAGTGCCTTCTACCTCTGAGTTTCTGCGTTACGGATGAGCGCACCTGCAACTGGGATCAAAGTAGTCTTGGTACACGATATGCAGCCGCATCGCTGAAGTGATGACTTATCAGAGCCATGCATCTCGGAACGAGATATGATTTTGGATGATTCACTACATAGGAAGCTGACCGTCAAAATGGTTTGATTGAGTACAACGTTGGAATGTATATGGCAAGTGCCAGGGTGTGGTTATTTAAAACATTGATGCTGACCGGAAAAAAGATGGTGGTAAATAAGTAAGTCGAAAAGTCTGCTATGAATTGGCTGGCTAGATAGGTCTTTATAAGATTTATCAGAACAATTTGGACGCTCACATCACTCACAAGGACAGCTAATACAAGCTAATCCAGATCAGCTGTACCCCAAGAGAAAGTATTTTTCCCAGATTTAGAGCTCATACACAATGGTGCAACCTCATTCATCTCAAATGAGTTGTGCATATGGGTTGCAAAGCCGGGGCAAGAACCAAGTGAGAGGAGGTAAGTACACGCGCAACATTAAGGGCGTCTTAGAATCACTGGAAATCCGGAGAGTTAAACAGAAGAATCAAGATTCAGTGTGGAATGGCTACGGTTTAAGGCCATACTGGAGTCTTGGGTACGCAGCTGAGTAAAAGCATTTTTCTATTGAAGGATGTTTGGACGAGATATACCCACAGCCTAATTTGGCAAAACGCATTAGCATTAAGAGCTGCTAAGGAAAACAGGTAGCAGTAATTTTGGTAGGCAGTGGGTTAAATATTATTGTTATTACGTAACGCACCATTCGAGGAGACATCTTCAGTGGTGACGAAACGTTTGTAAATCAATTGCCAAGCTCGGCGAACAGATCAACAGCCACCTGATCAATTATCAAGATCCCCCTGTGGATACAACACTCACTAAAAGTCCCTCCTTTAAAAACGGGCACTATCACCGACTCACCCCAGCCTGGGAAAAATGCAGACAAGGAGATCAGACAACGCACTTTGCGTAGACCTGAAAAACGCAGCGAAAAACAGCAGTGCACAAGTGCATGGTCGGAAGCTACGTTGGTATTCCAGAGGTGGCACGCAGCGACGAATCTCTCGCCACCGGTAACCGACGGCCATGTAGTCTATTTGGATTCGGGACTGGCTCGTTGGTGGACACCACATTGCCAAGTGATTTCCACTGTCTGGAAATCGGTCCTGCAGGGGAACAATCTGTGATTGGTACACATATGAATCAGGCGATCTCCCTTGTCCATGCGTCTCGCGTTCAACTAAAGGCGAACACCTAATGGGGCCCAGCAGTGCTTAGTCTATCCACCAAAGCGTTCATGTAAACAGCAACCAGAATGATGTCTGAACTTCCAACCTGTTGTAAAGGAGCACTTAGAGCGTCATAGAAACTGTCTTTGGCAGATTCAGAGCTAGTCACTAGCTAGACACAATAAATAGCGTTCGAAAGACCTCAATTTCTCGAGATGCTGCCAAACGAGCCTCACAGAGGTGAATATCAGCGGGTATTCAATCAAGCAGAGACGCTTTCGCTTGATTGTTCAACACAATACCAGTCCTGATATATCCAGCTGCAATGGCTGTACTGACTTAGACGATCAGCTCCTACCTTTTGGGGGTGGGTTTGTAGCCTACCCCTATCTTTGTCTTCCCTTGATTCGCCTTATCTACCTGTCTTTTCTTTAATATGACGCGTTAATTGTTAACCGTTCATTTAACCATTTTTCGTAGTTTTCAATTAAATATGCAGCGGCAATCCGTCTTTTTTCAGAAAAATTCGGAGCATAAAGTAGACGAAACCGTGGTGTAAACACTCTGTGGGCCGCAACCCGTAAGTACCGCGCAAAGCACTACATACCAATCACGATATGGTCAGTTCCCTTTATGGGATTAATCCCCTGTTTCCAGATGATGGTCTATAAGTGGAACGTAAGCCCGCGCCTTTTAGCCAGAACAAAAAAAACACAAAACCTAAATGGTCCGTAGGAATCCCAGACTACACAACCGGAAGCGGTGGTACGAAAAGCAATAATCTCATGAGATTAAAAACCGGTGGTGACTCACTTTAGCTGTGATCAAACGGAGCTGTCAGTATTTGAGGTACTTTAAAAATCCAAGTATACTCCACAGTGTGGGCACAGATTCGCAGGTTTTGCTGATAGCCGGTTAGGGCAACAACCCGGAGCAAAGCATGGGCAGATGTAAAATGGTCCGCCGAAGACGGGGCGGACACAGCTCTACGCGTTTTCCAAACGGTGGAGTGACAGGCGTGAACGAACCAATGAGGCTCAAGGTCACCAACGGAAAACTAGCAGTCCATTGGTTGGCGAAAGTGCAAGGGCGATAAGACAGCAGTGGCAAAAAGCCATTCCTGTTTCAGACCAAGCAATACGAACAGTGCAGCAGTCTGGTGGGAGAGCCTCACCTTGTCTGCAGTGATAATGTCGTGTTACTGAAACAAGCCTTTCGAATTCCGAAAGGCTCAGCCATACGAATACTTTCGTCCTTACTCTGATCAATCCGGAACAATCTACTTTTGAGAGGTAATCTGACAGGGTGAAAAACTCATGAATCCGAGCCACAATGAAGGAGAAGATTATAGAAGATTAGACTATTTCAGAAACTAGCAAGCGAACCCATAAGTTGACAGTGGAAATTGAGAATTTAACTTATAACGGGAAAGCACAATGCACACGTGGGGTAGCTTTGGCACGGTCTGCAAGGTCTTCTTTGTGCAGTAAGCAAAGGTAGGAGCATTTCTCTGTAGTTAATTTCACATGTGTTTGAGTGCGAGTCCTCCTTTGGTGCACCACAAACTTCTTTAGCCTTTCATTTTTCCTCAAGTTTCCTAGCTGGATCTACATTTCGTGGGCAATTGCGTTTGGTATTGTACAAGTCATGAACGGTTGGAGAATTTATCCTCATTTACGACAGCACAGCGAATTTTCGACAATGCATAACAACGAAAAACGTAGACCTCCCACACATCCGCCACAATTTACTTAATTCAGGCTGTAGATCATTACCTTACACATGATCCTGCCGACCATAGGGCTTAAGGTGACCTACTAGGAGATGCAACTCCGGCAATCGAAAATAGAGGAGAATGGTTTAGGAGTAACACCGTTCGTTGATGACCAGTAACAAAACCAGATGACTAGTAGTAGGACCACAAAGGAAA